GGGAAAGGGAAAGAAACTGAATATTGTCTACATTGAAAGCTGCTGACAATGTAGCTAGTAGAATTCTTTAAAATATTGACAGTAAGACAACACTGCGGTATGAGATATATTTTACCCTGAGATTCCCCTAGTTCCCACCACCTCTGTCCTACCCTCCAGGTTTCTCTGACTGAGAATGGCCTGTAACGTCCTGCAGAACTAAGGGAGCCAACCCCTTGGCTGCTGTGCCACAGACAGGTAGAGAATTTCTGGCTCCTCTTGCCATAGTACGGCATGGCACCTGGCAGTCCATGGGGCCAGAGAATGCCACCTTGCCGCCTAGGACCATGATTTCCATGGTGTGAAATCAAGCAAACAAGACAGGTGATAGGAGGTGAATATGAAGATCAAATTCTTTCCTTCCTCTGTCATATTGATTGCTCAGGGGCCTTTCTTTCCAAATAGCTTTTCCAAAAATGACACCTGCCGAATGATCTGTTGGAGCATGTGCCCTTCATGGAGGTAATTGGTGGACACTGAGGTAGCAGCTCATGCATGATTCCTTGCTTTGCTTCCAGTTCTTCCCTTCCATGTTTCTCTTTTTTCTCACTCTCAATGCCCCGAACCTGCACCTCCCAAGTAAAGCATGACTATCTTATTTTAGCCTTAGGCTTCATTTTTTAGGGAATTAAGACAATTACCCAAGAATAACGGACAGGGTGACTATTTTATGCAGCACAGCATAATGCAAACAGCAATAGACAAATTACTTAGTAAACTTTAGTGCTTACTCAGGAGACTTGACGTGACCTCTTCCTTCTGTGGCCTCCTGAAGGGACTGAGATTTTCTGGGCCTGACTTTCTCCATTTGTAAACTGGAGACAGCTATGCTGTGCAGCAGTGCTTCCCCAACTCTAACATGCAGATTAATTACGGCAGTGATCTGAAGGGGAGCTTTTAAAATACAGGTTCCTAGTCCTCTTCCTACCTGGGAATATTCAGCAGGTCTAGAGTGGGCCTAGAATCTGTACTTTGTCAAAGGTACCCAGGTGCCACTGATGTACATACAGCCAGGGTTGGTAAACACTGGCAATGTGGAAAGAACATAGACTTTGGATTCTAGTTTTCTGAATCCACTTTTATTTATGTCAGAAACCCCACTGAAACAAGCAGGAGCCACAGGTGTAATTTATTGGCTCATACAAAGGGAATGACCACCTTTACAATGAGACATCCAGAAATCAGGAGATGAAATCATGAGATGTCATCATTCTTTCTCTGCCTTTTGACTTGGCTTTTCTTTGTGGTGACCTCATTCTTGGAGACTCTCCTTGTTTACCCTTGCTTAACCTATCAGCTTAGCCAACCTGGCAGAAAAAAATAAAAAGCCATCCATTGCCCAAAATGGACTCTCCCTGAATCAACTATGATCAACTCAAGCCCTGAAACAACTTCTGTAACCAGGTGAATAAACACTCCAATAACCTTAAAGCTAAGTAGATAAGCACTTGGACATTTGAATTGCAGATCAGGATTATTATATGCTCAATTGCTGTCATTTTCACTAGACTCTATGCTTCCTGAGGACAAGAACTTAGCCTGATTTCTTCTCCACTGAATCCTTTAAAAAACAAAGCTGAGTGAATGAAACCATTTTAATCTTCAATAAAATATAATAACATCTCTAAAAAAATAAGTTTTAAAAAATAACGACATATTAAAGAATGGAAGAGGTACAGATATTACATTTAAACTAGCAATTCTTATGAGAAGTAATTAAATGAAATGCAACACAACTTAGATGTATAGATGTAGAGTATCAACTAAGTTATTTTTATATATGAGATCACATATAGAATGCCCAGAAAAGTCAATCCAAGCTATCAATCCTGCACAGAAATTCTGTCCTAACTTTTCCAGTAAGCATTTTCAGTTCTGTCTCTTCATATTTAGTTTTGTCGGAATCACACAATTATAGCTCAATTATTCTGGTAAAGATTTATATATTATTGTATAGCATCCATTTCAAAAATCACGATGCTAACTACAAGTCTAAAAGTCTGTTTTTCCGAGAAGTATCAAGGACGTTGGTTGGAAATAAAATGAGAAGAAAAACATGACATTTCTAAAAGGGATTTCAGATGGGAGAAACTCGGCACTCTATTCGGGTTATAACCCCCATAGGTGGGGCAAAGAAAGAACCAGAGAATAGTTAACCTGAAATGGAAAGAGATGGGGGGGACATTCTCAGCAGTTTGATCATTTGGCCACCATAGAGGCTGCTTGGATTGAGGCCAGATTACAAGAGTACATGACTCAATTTTCTGACTCAGCCAAGGAGTCTGTGAGCAGTGACATGATATATCATTGTCAATTGAGGACAATCCTTTAATCAATAGGATGGGCCATGTACCTAGATGTGTGATTAGGGAAGGAGAACAAAAGATACAGTTATTGCCCCAAAACACATTCTCCAAATCTAATAATGCATATCAATCACTGAGATTAGGATACAAAGCATTACAGAAAGCCCAGTAATCAATAAAATATAAATCTCAATGGTGAGGTTAGCATAGGTAGCTAGATATTAATAAAGGAAGGGAACAAAAGGAATTAGTTATTATAAAGCATAATCAACTAGGGAGCATGAGCCTGCTTGCTTCACCAGGAAATTACAGCTTCACACTCCCCAGGGAACCACCAGACATTCCCCAAAGATGGAACAGAACAATAAGGAGGGAGGTAGGCACATGCACAATTGGAGCCAAGATGGCAACCAGAAGGCTGAATACTTTTTACTGAAACAATATTACTGAAGTCAAAATTTGGATTAAATTCTCATGTGGCTAGTCATAATTCTCTGTGCTACAACCACTTCTAGAACATCTAACTAACTAGTTATCAAAAAAGTAATAACCAGAGTTACAAGAGAGAATGAAAGATAGAACCACAGAAGAGTGGGAACCATACTGAAAATGCCATTCAAAGCATTTGGCCCAAGGATGGCTGGCAAACACTAGGGACAATTTCCCACCATCAAAGTTCTAAAACGCAGGGACCTTTTTTATTGTGTTCACTGCTCTACGTCTGGTGCCTAAACACTGCTTGCACACAGTAAGCTCTCAATAAATATTTGTTGAATAATGTGTCCCATCATCTGGCATCTTAATTAAAGGGGCTGAGGACATATGTTCAAGATAGGATTCTGCCACTAACTACTTGATTCTAGTTTGTTTGTTTAATCCCTCTGTTTAATTTCCTCATCAATAAATTTTGGACATTGAAATAAATCAGTGGTTTCCAAACTGTATTTATCGGAGCCCCAATCTTATGAGAATCTGCTTTGAACTGCTGCTGGGGATACAACAGGAGGTGGGGAAGGGCAAGCAAACAGAGTTCTGGAGTATCTTCTCTGGTTTTGAACAGAGAAGCTTTACATTAATCTAATTTACATATTGTGTGATTCATAATATTTCAACTTGCCTCCCAAACATCTATTATTATTGGGATTTTTTAGACAGTTTTTTAACTAGAGGCCTGGTGCACAAAAATTTATGCACTCGGGGGGGGGGGAGGGGGGGTCCCTCAGCCACTCCTGTGCTCTCTCGCAGTCTGGGGCCCCTCAGGAGATAACGACCTGCTGGCTTAGGCCTGCTCCCAGGTGGCAGAGGGCAGGCCCAATCCCTAGGTGCAGCCCCTGGTCAGGCTCAGAGCAGGGCTGATTGGGGAGTGGGGGCGTCGCCCCCTGTCATGCACAGAGCAGGGCGGATTGGGAGGTTGCGATGCCACCCTCAGTCACGCTCAGGGTAGGGCCAATTGGGGGGTTGGGGCACCGCCCCCTGTCACACTCAAGGCAGGGTCGATGGGCAGGTTGCGGCACTACCCCCTGTCACTGACAGAGCAGGGCCCATCAGGGGGGTTGGGGCTCCATACCCTGTCATAGAGCAGGGTGGATCATGGGGTTGGGGAGCTCCCCCCTGTCACTCACAGAGTAGGGCTGATAGGGGAGTTGGGGCACCACCCTGTCACACACAGAGCAGGGCGGATCAGGGGGTTGGGGCGCCGCACCCTGTCACACTCAGGGCAGGGCCGATGGGGAGGTTATGGCTCTACCCCGTCACACACAGAGCAGGGCCAATCAGGGGGTCGGGGCGCCGCCACTGTCACACACAGGGCAGGGCTGATGGGGAAGTTATGGCTCTACCCCGTCACACACAGAGCAGGGCCCATTGGGGAGGGGGGGAGTTGGGGCGCCGCACCCTGTCACACACAGAGAAGGGCCGATCAGGGGGTTGGAGCACCGTAGCCTGTCACACACAGAGCCACAGGGCAATCAGGGGGTTGGGGAGCTCCCCACTATCAGGCACAGAGCAGGGCTGATCAGGGGGTTGGGGTGCCTTCAACTGTCACGAACAGAGCAGGGCAGATAGGGAGGTTGTGGCCCCGCCCACTGTCATACACAGAGCCGCAGGGCGATCAGGAGGTTTGGGTGCTATCCCCTGTCATGCTGATCCTGGTGCCGGGAGGCATATTACCCTTTTACTATATAGGATAGAGGCCTGGTGCACGGGTCGGGGCCAGCTGGTTTGCCCTGAAGGGTGTCCTGGATCAGGGTGGGGGTCCCCACTGGGGTGCCTGGCCAGCCTGGGTGAGGGGATGATGGCTGTTTGCAGCTGGTCACACACCCTTCAGGGTGGGGGTCCCCACTGGGGTGCCTGGCCAGTCTTGGTGAGGGGCTGAGGGCTGTTTTCAGGCTGGCGGGTGATGGAAGCTCCCAACCGCTCCTTTTTTTTCTTTCTTTTTTTTTTTCTGGGCCAGCTTTAGCTCTGAGGCTTCAGCTCTTAGGCCTCCGCTGCTGAAAGCAGGTTTCTGGCCTTTGTTTACCTTCTGTATTTGAAACAATGTTGCGATCCTGCTGGCTGAAGCCTGGCTACTAAAGCAGGTTTCTGGGGTTTTGTTTAGCTTCTATATTTGTAACATAGTTGCTTAGAGTTGCAGCTCTGAGGCCGCCATTGGCAGGCGGGGAACGTTGGAGTCCTCCGCCACTGAAGCAAGCAAGCCTCATGTTAGTTTCAAGCTTCCTGGCTGCTGGCCGCCATCTTGGCTGGCAGTTAATTTGCATATCGCCCTGATTAGCCAGTGGGAAGGGTAGCGGTCATACGCTAATTACCATGTTTCTCTTTTATTAGATAGGATGATTGATTTTGAGAGAGAAAGCGAGAGAGAAAGGGAAACATTGATTAGTTGTTTCACCTATTTATGCATTCATTGGTTGATTCTTGAATGTGCCCTGACCAGGGATCGAACACACCACCTTAGCATATAAGGATGATGCTCTAACCATTTGAGCTACCCAGACAGGGCATATTATTATTGTTAATACACTCTATCAATGGGTCAAGAAAAATCTGGGGAAATTAGAACATACTTTAATGTTAATGCAAATGAATATAAATTTACAAAAATGTATGGGATTCAGCAAAAGCAGGGCTTATAGCTATGAATGCCTATAACAAAAAAGAAAAAAATCTGAAATCAATAACATAAAGACTAAACCTTCTACTTTAAGATATTGGAGGGAGGGGGGAGAAGAGCAACCTAAAGAAAGTAGAATTAAAAAATAATAAATATTGAAGGAGAAATTAATGATATTGAAAAGAAAAAACTATACTAGAGAATATCACTGAAACAAAAAGCTAGTTCTTTGTAAAGATCAACTAAATTAACAAAACTGCCTAATGGACCCCACACACACACACAGGAAAAAAAAAATATTCAAATTTTAGACTCAGAAACAAAAGTAGGGGCATAACTTTTGCCTTTCAGATATGAAATGAAATATGAGAGAATGCTGTAAACAAGCAGAGGTCAAAAATTAGATAACTTGCCTGGTCAGTGTGGCTCAGTGCTTGAGTATCGACCTATGAACCAGGAGGTCACAGTTCAATTCCCGGTCAGGGCACATGCCCGGGTTATGGGCTCAATCCCCAGTAGGGGGTGAGAAAGAGGCAGCTGATAGATGATCTTTTCTCGTCATTGATATTTCTATCACTCTCTCCTTCTCCCTTCCTTTCTCTGAAATCAATAAAAAAAAATTAGATACCTTAAATGGCACACTAGAAATACTAGTAGATGAGAACTTCCTCAACCTCATAGAGTGCATCTATAAAAAACCTACAGCTATCATGACACAATGATTAAAGACTGGATTATTTATTCCTAAATTCAGGAAAAAGACAAGGATGTACCCTCTTATCATTTCTATTTAATGTTGTCCTAAAGGTATTAACCTGATAAATTAGGTAAGGAAAAGAAATAAAAACAATTTACTTCAGAAGGAAAGATGTAAGAATATCTCTAGATATATATAGAAAATCCTAAAGGACCCAGTATAACATAGTAGAATTTTAAAAATCCAGCTAAAAAAATTATTTCTGCAAAGTTGTATACTATAACCTCAGTATTAAAATCAATTCTATTTCTATACATTTGTAATAAATAATACAAGTAAGAAATTAAGAAAATTACATTTACAGTGTTAGCATAAAGAATAAAATACTTAGTAATACATTGAAGAAATGAAGTACACGACTTACACTGTTAAAACTACAAAACTGTCAAAAATTAAGGAATATCTTTGGAGAAAAGGAGAAAAAACACTGCATGGCCATGAATCAGAAGACTTAACATTGATAAGATGACAGTCCTCCCCAAATTTATGTATAGATTCAATGCAATACCCATCAGAATTCCAGATGGCTTGTTTATAAAAATTGACAAGTTGATTTCAAAATCCATATGAAATTATGAGGATATAAGAACAAAAACAATATCATTCCAAAAGAATATTGTAGCAGAGATTCACAAAGAAACAGTAATTTTAAAAGTGTCATGTGGATAGACATATAGATGTATAGGATAACATATAGATCTATAGGATATAGAGAATTCAAAAATAAAAAAATGTATCTATGGTGAACTAATTTTAATAAGGGTGCCAAGATCATTTAATGCACAAAGAATGGTGTATTCAAAAACGGTGAGGATACTGGTAGATAGCCCACATGTAAAAGAATGAAGTTGGACCCCTACTTCAAACAATATACAAATGGTAACTAAAAGTGGATCAACGATCTAAATTCAAGAACTAAAGCTATAAAAATCTTAGAAGAAAACAGAGGTCTAAATCTTCATGACCTTGAATTTGGCAATGGAGTCATAGATATAATATCAAAAGCAAGAGCAATAAGGACAAAAAAATACATAAATTTAAAGTCATCACATTTTAAAACTTTTTGCTTCAAAGGATACTATCAAGAGAGTGAGTAGACAACCAACAGAATGAGAAAAAAATATTTGCAAATCATCTATCTGAGGTTATTATATTTAGAATAGAGACAAAATACTTGCCACTCAATAATAAAAGAAAACCCAACTTTAAAAAATGGGCAAATGATCTGAATACACATTTCAAGATGGCTAATAAACATGTGGGAAGATGCTCAACACCTCAGATCTCTTAGGAAAGCAAAGTGAACAGGTTATCCTGTACCTTATGATTTTTAACCATTATTTTAAATATAGAAATATTTTATAGTTAACACAAAACCATAGGAAAATATAAAATGAAAACTTAACAAAACCATAATTAGCAATAATATAACTTAGAATCCATGAAACATGGTGCATTGCCCTAATAAAAAATATATATATATTTTATTATTCATGAGTTTGGAAATAAGCAAAGGAAAAATGTAAATTAACTTTACTATTTTAAACTATTTAGTCACATTTCTTATACCTCATCATTTATATTAAATAATGTATTAATATTCTATTAAATATTTCTCCTAAACACAAATAAAAATAAAGAGACACCAGGAGACCAAGATTAAGTACTCAACTAATACTCTAGTCCATATCAAAGATAAATTACTCATAAGTGGTATTGTTCTCCTTTGACATATTCTTAATGTCTATATCCCTCTTATTCTTTAGATCCAGCCTAAGCCTCAACTCCAGAACAACTTCTATAACTAGGTTCACTGTTAAAGCAAGAGTTCACCTTTCTCAAAGTGCATTTACTGTCTTTATCAGATAGGTATTCTTAAAAAAGATGTCTACAAATTTCAGTACCAGTAATTTAGCACCCAAAGTCAGCACATAACTTAGATCACTGTTATGAAGTTTGTTGGTTTCTTATAACACACAATATTATTCAATAATTAGCATTTATGGCCTTGGCCGGTGTTGCTCAAAGATTAGAGCGTTGACCCATGCACCAAAGGGTCGCAGATTCGATTCCTGGTCAAGGGCATGTACTTGGGTTGCATGTTCGCTCTCGGCCCCAGGTCAAGGTGCATGGAAGAGGCAACCAGTCAATGTCTTTCTCTCATTTCGATGCTTCTCTCTTTCTCTCCTTCTTCCCTTTTACTCTCTCTGAAAAGCAGTGGAAAAAATATCCTCAGGTGAAGATAACAAAAAATAATAACAATTGGTATATATGTAGCTAAACTATCTTTACAATTATATTGTGAACAACCCTATTAGTACAGGTAATCTTTTTATTTTATTTTATAATTTCACAGTACCTGCAATGGTGCTAGATATTGCATTCCACACATTAGTGATTACCTTTTTTAACCCCAGGTTTAAATCCTTTATCTTGACGTTCCGGATACTGAGGAATGTGGATTTCCTTGGGAACATAAAAATATCCTGGAAGGCTTACTTCTGTTGTATATAAAACGGACTTAGGCTGCTTTAACTTTGAGATATTAAAAAGCATACATGTCTGCAAATAAACAGAAAGAAAATTTGGAATGTAATTCTCTTACCTTTTAACTCTAAAACACAAAAGAGAGCATTATCAATTTAGACTCTATATTTGGGGGAAAATCAATCAAGGAGTTGAATTTGTTCATTTCTTTAGATACTTATTGTTTAATTGGTGGAAGACAACACTAACCCATTTCATAGAATTAATGGAGCCATCCTTTATTGAGAGATGCTCAGTGTCCCCTGTTCTAATTCTTTCAGTGTTGAGGAATCCATTGCTTCAGGAAGAAACCATTCCATTGGTGAACCGCATTGAGAAAGTGCTTTCCTCCTTGAATTGATCCCGGTGTACCTTAACATCTACCCATCAGTTCTAGTTCTCATTAGCAATACACTTAGCCTCCTTTCTTATGCTAATGACAGTTTAGTGGGAGGGACAGAAATAAATATACACACACACATATAAAACGAGGTTCTGCCCCTCCAGAGACCTCCAAACATATCTTTTAAATAAGTTTGATATTTTAAGTACTTTCAACCATTAGTTATATAATGTAGATTACAACTCACCCCCCATACATATGCTACTCAAGACACAATTGAGTTCAATACTGTGCTTCCTAGAATAGAACACTGAAGAGAAACCCAGCTCTCTACATGTGAACCAAGCAAGGCAGAGCCCAGAGGTATGCAACCATTTATTTTTATCTGGATGCTCTACTACCAACAACAAAGGTTAGACTAAGATTTCTTGGAGCCAGACTACCCACACTTACTAGTAAATACCCCAACTCTAAGTAAACTTGGCCAGGTTATTAACCAAAGCCACAAAGTCATCATTTGTAAAATCTATAATAATAAAAGGATGATATGCTAATTATACCAGACATCCTTCCAGATGACCTTCTGGATGAAGCCAGGGCTGCGAGGGAAGCCTGGGTCCCGGGTGCTAGAGGCAAACCAGTGATGGCAGCTGCAGGAAGGAAGGCCTACTCTTGCACGAATTTTGTGCATTGGGCCTCTAGTATGGGTTATAATAGTACACACTGCCTATCTCTGGTACATTTAAAGTATAAACAAATGCCAGGTACTTGGAGCATATTTTAAGAAGTTAATAAATATTGGCTATCATTATCATCATTGTCATTGTCACCATCATTATCATCATCATCATCATATCATTACTCATCAAAAATAAATGTTAGTGCCTTTAACAATTATCTCATTCACTGGGTTCATCTATATATATATATAAAAGCCTAAGCGACCGAACGACCAGTCGATCAGTCACTATGATGCACACTGACCACCAGGGGCCAGACGCTCAACACAGGAGCTGCCCCCTGGTGGTCTATGTGGTCCCACAGTGGGAGTGCCACTCAGCTGACTGACAGGCACCAGAGGCAGGGCTCACGGCTAGCAGGCGCAGCTGTGGCGGTGCGAGCCTCTCCCAATTGGGACTGACAGAGTGCGAGCCCACAGCGGGCACAGTGGGGCCAGGATGAGTAGGAGAGACAGGCAGGAGTGGCAGGCAGCACTGGACTGCCGGATTTCAGCCCAATCCCCACAGGGCATGCCGAGGGACCCCACTTATACACGAATCCATGCACTGAGCCTCTAGTCTATATGTATAAAACCCTAATATGCAAATAGACCAAACAGCAGAACAACCAAACAACCAGTCGTTATGATGTGTGCTGACCACCAGGGGGCACACACAAAACATGGTGGGTATCAGCAGCAGAGCACGGAACATGGTGGGCATTGGCCATGGCGGGATGGTGGAGCAGGTGAGCGGAGGTGTCAGACCAAAGCAGGGCACCAGTCGCTGTCATTGGGGCGAGCCTCTGGTGGTTACTGAAAATTCTTCGCTCCCACGTGCCGCGGTCCCACCGGTGCTCGCACCTGCTGCTGGTGATGGAGCCACCGCTCACACCTGCTGCCGGCGCCCAGTGCCAGCCCCAATCACTTGGCACTGTCAGCAGGTGCGAGCAGTGACTGCTAGCCCTGATTGCCCCTCAGGGCTTCTCCACCTCCCCCTGCTCCTGAAGGGCAATCGAGGCTGGCAGCCACCTCTCGCACCCACTGCTGGTGTCAGCCCCAATGGCTCCATGCCATCAGCTGGTGCGAGTGAGGCCGGCGCCATCAGCATGTGGGAGTGGCAGCTACAGGAGCTGGGCTGCCAGCAGGCAGGAGACCAGGGGCCAGGCCAGGAGGGGCTGGGCGGGGGCATGAAGGATGGGCTGAGACCCGCCCCTGTGCCCACTGCAGCCTCATGGCCCACAGTTCCTTTCAAGGTGCATGAGTTCATGTACTGGGCCCTAGTTATCTATAAAATCCACAAGAATTTTTTCCCCACAAAGTCACAGTTTCTACCTACTTTATTTTGGCAATTCAAATCATGTAAATCCTGAAATTTAAATTAATTCAATGTACATTTATCATTGTTTGGGTTTGGTTCAATTTTCTAGTCATTGTGCATAGATAATCTATTCGTATCAGCAACTAGCTCTTTATCCTAAATGTATATTGTCTGCCTTCTAGATCTTCAGGTCATTCAAAATAATGTAGGAAGTCCCCAAAAAATGTATACAAATTTTAACAGCTGATAGCTCACTTAATTTTCACTCCTTTTCAGGGTTAACTGATTTGAAATAATGAATGAAGACAGACTAATCTTTGAACAAAGAAAATTTATCCTAAAGTGCCACTAGATTTTTTTTATAGGGCTACATAAAAGATAAAGTTTACAGTACAAAACTGGCAATAGTCAATGATTGAGGGCACACAAACACCAAATGAAATGATTCTTGATGTGTGCGATTCCATTGCTTCACATTATCATCAGTGCCTGGACCAGAACAGTCATCAGTTTGAAAACAGGCATTGACAAAAATAAATTATTCATTTCTGTAGATTCTTTTAAATTTTGAAAATGAACTGTATGTTAATAAACATTGACTTGATAATCACTCAAAGTGTGTATACAATTTTTGGGGACACCCTGTATGTGACACAGACTCTCTTCTTGACCAAATTCTAACCAGGCTCCTCTAAACTGTTTCTCAACTAGGCCTCAACCCTGGCATATAAAAACTGCAGTCACAGAAGTAGACATTTATGATAAGTGAGGGGGGTTGACAGAGGTGATCCGTATTTCTTAATTGATGCATATCTGCAGTTACTTCAGAAAGCTTGCAATTATAAATCCTTTTTCTCCCCTTTGAGAGGTAAATCTTCTATCACCCTTCCCCCACAACTGTCTTCTCAAGGACCTCAGAACCCTCTCTTTGAAATGAAAACATTCAAGGAGATAATGCTCCCAGTCAGCTGAGTACCTTGCTGCAACTTGCATCATTACCTCCAGCCATAAAGATTCCAGAAGTTTGTTTCTCCTGCAGATAAGCATAAATTAACAAATTTCTCACAAAATTTCCTCTCACTTCTTGTAGATATCCACTTCTGTGACTGATTAAGTTACAGATTCTTTCTACTAATTCTCCCTCTCTATTTTTTTTATCCTCCCTTTAAGATGCCCAGTTACTGCTGCACAAATTGAATTTGAGTTCATTTCATGCTGGATCCTCCTCCCTGCAGCAATAGTTACTGAATAACGTCTATCCTCATGGCTTTAACTAGTGTCCAGCATGGATGTGAGAACAAGAAAAAAGGCCTTTCTTTTTCTTTGCTATAGCATTCTACAATTTATGAGAAGCACTTGGTAATTAAATCCCAAGATTGTTGGCTCCTCTGATTCAAACAACCTCAGTTCAAACTGCAAGACAACTTAAGTTACTCTCAAGGTTACATTCTTGTATACACCTCCTTCCTGCTGGTTTACAACTCAGGGATAATTAATAGAAAGTTCCTTTCCCCCCTCCTCTTCAAACAAGCGTCTTTTGAACTCTTTATAACTTTTGCTCTGTGGACAAAAAGAGGCCACATGCTAACATGACAAGCTCAGGGAATGCCTGTGTGGCCTCTGCAAACTCAGAGACCTAAGGTAACCACAAAGGATGGTTTGAAATTAAACTTTTCAATTAAAAAGCAGTCTGTGGTGGGTAGTCATGTCCTAGTCTGGTATCTTCCCTGACAAAGATCAATCTTTACCTTAACTGAGCCTATTATCTTTCTGCACCCAGGATAAAATACCTTTGGAATGTCAGGATAACTTCTAACTTTCATTTTTTTCTAGACCCCTCAGGGTACAACCAACGCTATAGGTAGAGACTACAAATTCCCTCATTGTTATTGTTATCATGTAAACTGTTGACTATTAACTATCCTGTACCCACCTATGTAAAAGAAGCATGTGTCTATCATTTTACTTTTTACCCAAACCCAGAAGTTTCTCCTTTTTTGCTTTCTCCCACCTCTCTAATCTATCACTAATGGATTTCATGCAACCCACTTACATCTCTTCCTTTGATGGTAATTTAAAAAAAAAATAGGTGAAAAACTGCCATTCTCTAAAGCATTGTCTCAATGCACTGAGATTCTGCTTCCAGCAATTGTTGACAGTTTGGCTCAAGTAAGCTGACAAAAATTCTTTACTAGTACAGGTTTGAATGTTTCTTATGTTAACAGCTCTAAGAATGTTTTATAGGCTTTGGAAAAATACTGATAAGACACCTCCCTAGGACATCTGCCTATAACTAACAAAGACAACCTCCCTGATATCTGCTCAATTTCAGCCCCCAAATCCTCCTCCCTTCCTTGTCACCTAGCAACAGCAGCCATTAAAAGAGCAGGGCACAGTCTATTCCTTTGCCTCTGTATTGATTAGCCCTTTCCTTTCTGGGAAAGTAAAATAAACTTTCTCTCTACATCTATCTCTTCTTTTAGTTGTGAATTCTTGGCATCACCAGACAAAAACCATAACACTCAGCTTTATCTTTCACAGTATCACTAGGATTACTTTATGACTTGAAGGTCACTTAAATTATACAAATACAAAAACTTTTTCTTTGCCTTTCCAAATCCTCACCAAGATCTTTCAGGTTTCCTTTAAAAAAGATATCCAATTTCAAAATTCTGATGATTTTTTTCTGCTATTTATTCTGGAGTACATAGCATGGTTTTAAAACATAAACATGAGAAAGCTAACAGGAAATATAAAGAACCTACCTTGTAAGCCCTGAATCTTTCCAACATCACTGAGTATATCATTAAAGTTGTTTAATTAATGGCCAGAGGATATGAATTCAATAAATGAGTGCTAAGTGTCATAAATTATGCTCCTGACAAAAGATAGTATCTCTTAGAGCATATAAAGTAGATATACCATGTTGCCATTACTCTATAGCAGTGATGGCGAACCTTTTGAGCTCGGCGTGTTAGCATTTTGAAAAACCCTAACTTAATTCTGCTGCTCTGTCACATATAGAAATTTTTTGATATTTGCAACCATAGTAAAACAAAGATTCATATTTTTGATATTTATTTTATATATTTAAATGCCATTTAACAAAGAAAAATCAACCAAAAAAATGAGTTCACGTGTCACCTCTGACACGCATGTCATAGGTTCGCCATCAATGCTCTATAGATATTTCAAAACTCAAATTTCACATTGTCATGTAATAAAAAATGAAGATAGACCACTTTTCTACATTTATTCAATAGATTTAGTTTTGAACAAATATATTCCAGGTTGATTTTAGATTTTGTTATGCAGTTATTTTATGCTATAACAGAGCATTCTAGACTTTCATTTATTACTTTATACAAGTTCATGGTAATAGACTAAGAAGAAAACATATGAGCTGGAGGATATATAGGGCAAGGAAAAGAGTAGTAGACTGGGAGGTAAAAACCTGGGCCCATTTCTATTCTGTCATAAATAATTGGTGTGAATTTAGGGCACTATATTACTATTTTATGGTCTTCGTTTACAGGTCTGTAAAAGTAAGAGGTTGGACTATGTGTCTCTGAGTGTCTTTGATTTGTTTTATAGCTTTAAAATATAATAATGCCTCTATCCTGATCTGGGTTGTGATCTCTGCCCCATTCCTGAGGTTAGTCATTTTATGCTTCACTCATCCCATTTTTTGTACTATAAGTGCAATCCTATTTGTTCTATATTTCTCCATGGGGCCATCAAAATAATTTGAAAAGTACACATAAGAGCAGTTTGGAAAAAAGTGACAGTTTTTGCCCTAGCTGGTTTGGCTCAGTGGATAGAGTGCCAACCTGTCTGAAGGGTCCCGGGTTCGATTACGGTCAATGACACATGCCTCGATTGTGGGCTCAGTCTAACATGCAGGAGGCAGCAAGTCAATGATTCCCTCTCATTATTGATGTTTCTATCTCTCTCTTCCTCTCTCTTCCTCTCTGAAATCAATAAAAAAATATATTAAAAAAGTGACAGTATTTTAAAAAATTATCTTATTTATTGTTCTGCTGGAAAAAAGTAATAGTGTTACTGTATTTAAGAGTATACGTCAATTGAAAAGAAAGCTTTATGATTAGATGGATGTAAGCACAATAAGATATGTCTAAGTTTTGATTTGGTGTAGTTGCTTTTCTTAAATTGACACATTCAATACTTCTCTAGTTATTTTCTACACTTAGAGTTTTTGCTGAAACAAAAAATGCATGGTATTCAGGGAAGTCAAAGAAAATACTAATCTTCAGGTGAAAAACAAACTTTCAATTTTTAACATTAGAGAACACTTAAACCATTTCAAATGTAATTATTAAAAAGCCAAAGGTTATTAAGAAATTAACATTATTATCATTTTTACTCCTAACAACAAATTCAGAGAAGTACACATATATGGATACTCATCCTGCAAATATGAGAAGGAAACAAGGATAAATAAACAACAAGATGACTTTGAGAAAAATCAGGACATGAGGCAATCTGGATGGACACCAGCCTATACAATGAGGACTTAAAGTGTCATTTGTTTGTTAAGGGCCATGCTCAAGCCAATAAAACAATGACAGCACCTTTCATGCGCAAGTCATTAAAGGGTAAACAAACACATAAGAAAAATAATTGTAGATTTCTAGGAATTTATATCCTAGATTGATGAGTATACATAAAAATAAATCTTACACAAAACATAAGTTGATAAATGCAACAATAAAAACAAAAACTATGCTGGATTCCAGAGACAAAGCTAAAAGAAAGGGAGAAAGATAGAAAACATATACATGCATAAATAGTAGAAAGATGATCCCTGGGTAAAACCCATCCCCTCAAGCATACGACCCAGCAATCGCACTTCTGGATATATACCCCAAAAACTCAAAATGATGTATTTGCAAAGATATATGCACCTCTGTGTTCATTGAGGCATTATTCAAGGTGGCCAAGACATGGAAACAACCAAATTGTCCCAAAATACAGGAGTGTATAAAGAAGATGTGGTACATATACACAATGCAATACTACTCACTCATAAGAAAGGATGAAATAGTACCATTTGCAACAACATGGATGGAACTTGAGAACATCATGCTAAGTGAAATAAGTCAGTCAGAAAAAGCTAAGAACCATATGATTTCACTCATATGTGGGATATAAAACTGAAACTCATGAACACAAACAGCAGTGTGGTGGTTGCCAGAGGGAAAGGGCAAGGGGAAGGGAGTACTAATATAAGGTGACAGGAGAAGATTTGACTTTGGGTGCTGGGCACACTGCAATATACAGATCTTGTAACACAGAAATCCACACCTGAAACCTATATGTTCATGTTGACCAATTAATTTAATTTTAAAAAGAAAAGAAAATATAAGTTGGTAAAGCAGGATCTCACTGATAGTATTTGAGCAGATCTGAAGTAAATGATATCTAGCCTCTAATATCTAGAAAAAAGTAACAGAGGAAGTACACAGGCCATGGGGAGCATCCCTTGGGCATGCGAAGAACAGCAAGGAGGCCTGTACTGAGGGAGTGACCTGAGAGAATGGGCTCCAGAGGAAATGTTGAGATCAGAGAAGTAGGAGGGACTACCTAGGAGGGTCATGAAGCCCATCCTAAGGGTATTTATTGATTTTTATTCTGACATGAACTGGCACACCAGTAGCGGAGCAATATGAACAGATTTATACTTTAGAACAATCGCTTTAGCAGCTCTGTGGTGACTAGACTGTACCTTATTTTAATGATAAAATTGAGTTCAAAGTACAATAACAGAGTCTATACTAATAGTAATAACAATAACAACAATGACATATATAGTGTACTTATTATATACCAGGTATAACGCTAAGCATTTTACATAATTATCACACTTGTTTTCCATAAATTATCATTATCTCCAGATTAAAAATATTAAAAAAAATTTTTAAGTAACCAGCCCACAGTCACACATGTGAGCAGTGTTAAAGTCTAGATTCTCAGCCTGGTCATCTGATCCCAGAGATGAACCTCTCTGGATATAAAACAGAATATCCCAGGCAACTTTTAGAACATGTCCTCACCCACTTGCTTCCAGAGATTTGTATTTAATTATTCTGGAGTGGGGCCTGGGCATTAGTATTATTTTAAGTTTTCTGGAGCATTCTAACATACAGCCAGAATTGAAGACAACTGTGAATGAAGCAGCTACAGTGTCATGCCTAAAATTAATAGTATGCTTAGTTACTACTAATTTAGTTATTACTACTAAAATTAGAAGTAATGCAAAATTAGTACAATACTTTCTTGCAGATTTATTTTTAATGAGAACAAAAGGTAAAAAGCTACTGAGTTGTCTTTCTGGGGAAAAGCAGCATTAATCCTTTTCTCTATGTATAAATGTTATGATTAAGTAATAGCTCTGTATATTTTTAAAGAGAGAATAATTTAAGTGCATCATCTGTTCATTCCCACCTCGACCCTGGTCAGCCCCAGGATGGCGACAGCCACGCGGATGCTACTGCTCTCCAGAGTGCCTGTGAGCAACCTCCGCTGATACTCTACATCTGACATCTGCTGCTGTGCTGCAAAAGCCAATGCCTTTTCCTTGACTTCGTTAGTCAGTGGCAATATAAGGTCCATATCCAACGTATGACAGGGTTTGCATTTCAAATACAGAACTGGATTGTCCTCATCAAGCTCTAGGGTGAAGCAAAAACATTCATGGCTGCAATGGTCATTTATGCCTTTGTAATTACCATTCAGGATGGATTTGGGAGGTTTGAAATATAAAACTGAAGTCGTGGTCTTCATTAAACAGAGTAAAAATAGGTAACACATTTCTAGTGGTATTAATTCAGTAATTCAAGAATAAGTCTTCAGGAATTAAAGATATTTTCCTGGTACTCTCTAAAAAGAGTTCTAGTCAAATGGTTCTTTCATAGAAACATTATCAACATGATCAAAAATTCAGTGACCTAGAGACTATTATGCTAAGTAAAATATGCCATTCTGAGAAAGACAAATATCACATGATCTCACTTCTTTGTGGAATCTAATGAACAAAATGAATTGACTGACAAAAATAAGACCTGAAGAATGGAGGCATGGAACAGACTGACATACCTCAATATGGGGTTGGGGGAACGAGAAGAGATAAACCAAAGAACTTATATACTTATATGCATAGCCCATGGACATGGGCAATAGATGGTGAAGACCTGGAAGGGGGGGGGCGGCTGGGGCTGGGAGGAGGGGGGAAAAGGAGGGTTGGGAGAAAGGAGACATCTGTAATACTGTCAACAATAAAATATATATGTATTTTTTAAAACTCAGTGACCATTGTGCTCCTATCAGTGATTAGAAGGTAGGAATGGTAGAAATAAATGTAAAGAAAGACATCTATCAATGACTGGTATGAACTAGAATTTTCTTTCACTAACAACTTTATACTTTAAACTAGAATTTATAATACCAACATAATAAAGTTAAAATCTAATTATATATTGGATAAACTTGCTATGAGGAGCTTAGGTAAATATATGTGGAACAGTCCCTTCCTTCAACGTTATAAATAAAACTAGAGGTCCAGTGCACAAATTCGTGCACGGGTGGGGTCCAGCCGGCCCAGCCCCAATCGGGGCAGATCAGGACCAGGCCTGTTGTGAGGAGGAGACGGTGGGGGGTAGGCTGGCTGGGGGGAGGGGCCGTGGGTGATTGGCTGGCGGGCCCCACCCCCGAATGGGGTGGGGGGGGCTGATTGGGGGTCAGCAGCCAAGGAAGGCATGGTGGGAGGTTGGCCAGCCAGCCCCATCCCAGATTGGTGTGGGAGGGTGATCGGGGGTGGAGCTGACTGAGGGGAGGGGTTGCAGGCTGATCGGGATGTTGGGGGTGCATCAGGTGTGGGGCTATCTGGGGGAGGGACCACAGGCAGTTGGCCAGCCAGCCCCGCCCCCTACTGGGGTGGGGGGGCTATCAGGGGTGGGGCTGACCGGGGGGAAGGGCAACAGGGGGGTTGGCCGGCCACCCCACCCTCAATTGGGCTGATTCGCTGGCTGTAGTGGGCATCATAGTGACCAGTCGTTCCTATTGTTATGGTGCTCTGGTTGCTGGCTTTTTATATATATAGATAATGCATATGTATACTCTACCTTCTGGAGAACATGTGTAGTCATATAAATTTGGGGAAGTCATTGCAGGTAGTTTGGAAGGCAAGGGGGCCATACCTTCTCCTTCCACAATGTATACTAATTCTCCAATCTAAAACACAAACACAATAATATTAAATTCTGAAAGCTCAGAAAAAACTTAGGATAAATCTTTCTTCTGTGAGAAGAATGTGCATACTGTAAAATCATCACTGCATTGTGCATTTTTAAGCAATATATGCCCTAAATTTGTGGAGAAAGGTAAGGCTTAAATATAGCTCTCCATAGTATAGGACAGTGATGGCGAACCTATGACACACATGTCAGAGGTGACACGCGAACTCATTTTTTTGGTTGATTTTTCTTTGTTAAATGGCATTTAAATATATAAAATAAATATCAAAAATATAAGTCTTTGTTTTACTATGGTTGCAAATATCAAAAAATTTCTATATGTGACACGGCGCCAGAGTTAAGTTAGGGTTTTTCAAAATGCTGACACGCCGAGCTCAAAAGGTTCTCCATCACTGGTATAGGAGAAATTCTGCATGTAACAGATCATGGAGGTGGCTTAAGAATATCCCAGGATGAAATTGGCAGCAGTTGATCTTTATAGCTACAAATATCTACTGCAGACTTAAAACAAATAGACAATCAAGCAAGAAAGAGGTTTTTTCCCCTTAATTGTGTAATTTATTGTTGGAGATGTGTGATATCATTTTTGCAGGGTACGTGAGTCCCCAAGAGTAAGTACAAGTTTTCTAACTGTCCTTTGGTGGATGATTGGATAAAGGAAATGTGGAATATAAAGAAAACAGAGTAGTATACAATGAAATACTGTTCAGCCATAAGAGAGAATGAAATACTGCCATTTGTGACAACATTGATGGACCTTAAGAGTATCACGCTAAACAAAATAAGTTAGATAAAAAAGGAGAAGAACCATATGATTTCATTCATATGTGGGATATAAAACAGAAAGCAACAAATGAACAAAGAAAACAAAAAACTCATAGATAGAGATAACGATATGGTGGTTACCAGAGGGGAAGGGAGTTGGGGGGGAGGATAAAGTAAGTCAAATATGAGGTGACAGAAGGAGGACAGACTGGATGGTGAGCACACAATGCAATATACAGATGGTGTATTATAGAATTGTACACTTAAAACCTATATGATCTTATTAACCAACATCACCCAAATATATTTAATTTTTAAAAAGGACATGCTTTCAAAATGAGCACTGAGGATCTGAAGATCTTTTAGAATAAATAAGTACTTAGGGGAAAAATACAAAGTATACACAGAGAGAGTGAACATAAAAGTGGGGTCAATGCAAAGGCATCAACATCATATAGAGAAAGATTAATAGAGGTGGACAAGCCTAGTTTTATTCCTGGCACTGTCATTTATTAGCTACTGAGCCTGAGACAAGTTTGCTAAAAGCTCTGAGTTCTGGTTTCTTCCTCTGTAAAATGGGATGAACAATATTTCTTCATTTTAGGAACCTAGAGTTTAAGTAAAAAGGAAGAGGCGAGAGGGAATCTCAAAAGACATATCATACAATCACAATGGATGACTATTATTTAGATCTTGATTCTGAAGTAACTTCAAAACATGATTGTAGGAGCTCATGACATGCCAACCCAAAATACACCACTTTGGTATATTGATTATTTTGAGCTGTAGGCACATGAAAAACGGCTAATGCTGGGAAAAGCTTTCTCTGAACTCCCTTTATCTGCCTAGAGACAGATCCTCCAAAAGGAACTCAATTGTCATAAATCCAAAGAAGATTCACTCTTTTCACAGGAGTAGAGACTAGAAGTTGACACTGCACCTGGACAAACTTTGCACAAACTATCATATCTCCCATCTATTATTCTAAAGTCCTATTCATGTTACCTAAAAATAATTTACTCTTCTAAGTGGCCGACATCCCCTCTCCACTTTCCCTAATAAGATGATATTTAAGCTTGAATTCTAAGTAACCTTGGGGAAGTCACTCAGTATTCCTGGGTATCTCCCATGTATACATGAAGTATACATCTTAGTAAACTTCTGTTTATTTTTCTCCTGTTATTTTTATTATTATGGGATAGGGGTCAACAGCGAAGAACTCAGAAGGGTAGAAGAAAAATTATTTTTCCTCCCCTATAATTCAAACAAAGAAATTTAAAATAAAATGACAAAAAACAATGACGCATACAATCATGAGGCAATCAGGAAAATATGAGCAATGCCTGGATGTTTGATGCTGTTAAGAAAAAAAAAATTGTAATATTTTTAGTAGTAATGGTATCATGATTACAGGGAAATTCTTATTGTTGTTATATAGACAATTCTTGATTTATTTGTAAATAAAATGATGTGATGACTGATACTTCATTATAATCATGAAACATATTTTCCATGCACTGTTGAAGTTGAGCAAACATACCATGGAGGATTTGTTATAGTTTTATTTCTACAACTGTGTACCTTATATTTTCCATAATAAAGTCTTTTTTAAAAAAAAAATGCTTATGTCTCAAGAAGTAGGATGATACTACCTAAAGATGTAGTGAGGATTACAGGAGGTAACACATTAATTAGGAATCTAAGCCTTTGCTTGGCACTCACCAGGCACTTAAGGGATTCATTTAAATGGAGTAGGACCATTTTCAGAAAGCAGGCTACCAAAACCTTCAGGGATATATAAATCACCTCAGGATATTGAGAAAATGCAGTTCTAACTCAAAAGATTTAGGGTTGAGCCAAAATTTGAGAGAATCAATGAAAACAAGGACTGGCAAATTTAGGTTTAAACCACACACTGGAGAATCTAGTACCAGAATGGACGTGTGATAGGCATGCAACTAGCCACTATGAAAGCAAAAGGAAATAAACCTAGCTATGAAGCTGGGATGGTAACTAGCTTGAGCTGTCCCATAATCTTAAAACAATGCTTGAGAGACTACTCCAAAGATATCTTTGAACAAGCAGTGTATGTAAATAACTTAAAGGAAATTCATCACAGAATAAAAATACATATTCCAAAATATTATAAAAATCATATGTAACAAGTAAAATGGGAAAATTAACAACTAATTTAGAAACAAAAGGATAAATATTTCTAATTGTATAGTCAATTTATTTATAGCTTCATTATCCCTTCCAATTGAGATTAATTTATAATAAAATTAATTTCACCATCTACTTTCATATGATAATGTCCTATGGAATTTTATAGTTTATAATTCAAAATTATCTTCAATTCATGCTAATAAAAGGAGTATGAAAAACTTTCAATGTTTTAGATTGTTCAGCATTTAAATCTGTGCACTCTTGGTTACAATGAATACATTATATATAATTTTCACATAGTAATTTTTCTTGAACAGCCATGTAATTTGCAAATATAAACCCAAGCTAGCAATGTGAACTATGTTTTGTTTGTGCATATGTTACTGCAAATACAAGTGAGTGATCAATATTGATGTAAAGTTTTCAATGATAATTCAAATATAGTACAAATGCATGTCAACAGAGACTGGGAAAAGTAATATACTAATATTTACTTTAATTTTAACTTTTATTCATCCTTATCGTTATCTAAAAATCAGTTGTTTTACCCAATATATTCATAAGAAATAAGACTCAGGGAGTATAGTTATCATAATTGCATGTTTTTTTGAAACCTGATCTATAGCTTGTCTACTCCATGAAAATAAATACCAACCCATGAGGGTTGGTACAAAAGAAAGTAACTGCTATTTGCCAGAATATTTTTCTTAAACATAAATTTTAAACAGCTTCCTAGTTTATGATTAGCTAATGGAAATATCAGTAAGTAAGAATCCATTCAATCCCATTTAAATTCACATATTACAAAAAATTATTTTGTCTAACTTGTTCACTTTGAATATATTCTTTTTATTAAAAAAAACTTAATGTAATTGAAAATAATGCATGTTTTGCCTATGTCGGGAAATCATTCAGGAACATAATATGTAGAAATATCAAATTAGTTCCCTCTACTTTTCTTGAAATAAAACCAGACCAGGAAAGAAATACAAATGCAACAACACTTTTAAAGTAGAAAGCCCCTTACCTTCCAAGTCTGGAGGCTGTGACAAGAGAAATGAAATTGTCTGACAACAAACAGACACTTGCCAATGTGAGCTATTCTACTAGTCACCTGTTACATTTCCTTTCTGCTCTCAATTGATATTTACCAGCTGGCATGTTTACTTAGATTTATCTATATAAAAGGCTAATAGGCAAGGTGTCCTTGTGGGAGTTCAACCAGGAGATTGGAAGTTCTATTGCTATATTTTCCAGAAAGATGTCACCGCCCATGGCCAATTGTAAGATACCCTCACAAAAGACATTTTGTTCTTTATGTGCATTTAGTTAAATAAAGTCCTCAAATAACAGTTGTATGCAATGTTATAAGACCAGCTTAATGACTCAGAAAGGAAAAACACAAAAACTGAATTGGAAGGCAAGTTTTAATTCCAGCTTAGGTAATTAGCTAGGTAACCTTGGCAGGTCATGGATGGCCTCCAGATACAAATAACCTCAATCTTAAAAAAAAAAAAAATTAAAGGATTTCTGAACATAAAATCACTATATTGTTCCATAGTTCTTAAATTCTACTTTTTTAATCTTGGGCCTAGATATTACTAGGTTTTATAATTTATATATTTGAATTGGCTAAAAAATATTATATTATTTTGATGATGAAACAGGCATGTGAGAGCTAAGCTAAAATTCTAAAATGTTAAATTCCATGCACTAGAGAAGGATCACTAATCATTGTAGATAACTATTTGATTCTGCCATAATCTCTCTATATGAAAGAGAAACATGCAAATTAACCATCACTCTGTGAAGCCCACAAGCCACCAACCAATGAGAAGTGGGTATGGAAATTAACCCGACAAAGATGGCGGGTTAATTTGCATACACAGGCACTGGGGAGCCAGGGTCAGGGAGCGTGTGCTCAGGCGCCAGGGAGATGGGGTCAGGGCTGGAAGTTCCCGCCCTGTGGCCGCTTGCATGTGCGCAGGTGCCGGGGAGCCGGAGGTGGGGGGGTGCATGCGGATGCCAAGGAGCCGTGGGTGGAGC